TGAATCATAGGCAGAAAACTTCATCCGCGATGAAAATTTCTTTCACTAAAGTTATCACAGCTTACTATTCACTTTTTAGAAATAGAGTAAAGAAGATAGTTTACCATCGCGACTGAAATACGCCGCAAAGATTTAAACGAGGGTAGACGTTCAAAATTGCTGTGTACTCACTTTGAATCCGTATAAGTTCTTCAGTAAGAATGTCTTTTACCATTTTAGATAGAAATTGTGGAGTACTGAAGGCAAAGTAGGATCGATGTAAACTTCAAAAAGTGATCGTATCATGTTCTCGAAGAAAAGTCCGAGTAAAACATGATGCAATGATAGCCAGAGAGGTAATAATACGAGAAACTCATTCTAATTTTTTTTGACAGAAAAACATACTTGATAACGTTTGATCCAGTTATAACAATAAAAGGGTTCACAATGCGTGATACTTTAGCAGTTTTGCTCTTAGACAACGAAAAATGGGATTAATTCGTATAATGGTCGTTTAAACCTTCGCTGTTTTCCCAAATTTATCGTTCGTTCAGTTAAGAATAGGACCAATTGATAGTTATTACAATACGCAGCCTGTGTACCGGCTGAATGTTCATTCTGAACTGAATTCATCCTGGCTGAATGAATTTGGGAAAAACAGCGAAGTTTTAATCAAACATTATACGAAGTAATCCCATTTTCCGTTGTCTAAGAGCAAAATTATTGAACTAAAGAGAAGCGTAAGATAAAAGTACGCATTGTGAATCCTTTTGTTGTTATAACTGGATCAAACGCCAATGGCGAATGAGCCGCGATCGCGACGCGGCAGTCGAGAGAGAATATTTCCTACTGCCTTCAGTAAAAAGTCGCGCTTTTTTGATCAAAAAAGATACGAGTCGCTTCGCGACATCGCGAGTACCAGAGATGAGCGAATCACCACTTTTTCGAGTCTGAGTAGAGTCCGAATCAGTAGTCTTCGAGTCGAAGTCCTAGTCCGAGTCGCATCAAAAAGAGACTCGAGTCACCTCGAGTCATAAAACTTCCTTCTGATTCATTTTTCCAAGAACAGATCTTCAATCCTCTCATGTGCCACAATCTTCTACTTAGAATATTCTCAAATCTCTCCCTCTTCTGTTATGTAACAAACATAATAAACGTCGTCATAGCAATCCCAATTTGCACATGACTGACTCGAAAGTGACTCGAGTCAGTTTATCAAGTCTTTCACCCCGAGTCCGAGTTCGAGTCATAGAAAAATGTGACTCGCCCGTATCTGGCGAGAGCAAAGTGTCGCGCCCACTAAAAGGAGAAAATGAAGGAGTCGCGTCGCGAATGTAGCGACTATATAGCAAAAATCCGGTTCCATCGCGACTTTATAGCGATCGCGAAACTGGAGAGAAATTTCGCGAGTCTATAAGCGATCGCGTTGCGCGTTCGCGCCGCGACTTTATCGCGACTAGTCGACATGGGAATAATGAAAGCGGTGAAAGAAGGCTCAGGTGGACGTAAAAGACTGGAAAAAATTTATAAGGATGCTAATAAAATATATGAATAAAAATCCATTTCCCGGTTATCTTGTTTAACACCAGTATCAACAACGTCAATAGCAACACCGGCAATAATTCTACAACCATTTAATGATTTGACCAATAAACAATCCATCGGCACGACTAATTCGTCTATGAAAAAGAATGCATATTTCGTCGTCTCATATCACATGTCGTTTATATATATGACTGAATCGTAACTTTTGTACAATTGGTAAGAAACACGAAAGTGTATGTAGAAAAAATCTGAAACGTACATTTCATTCCCCATCATTTACTGAGTCTGTGGTAAAAATTTCCCAACTACCGGACTCATTTTGGCTGAGATATCCGAGAACAACTTGCATTCTTTGACGCAGAAAACGTTTTACTAGACTTTGCGCTATAATGCGCATGCAAGTACATGTATGATACACCAACAGATAGATTTCAGCACGGCGAACCCAACTGAACTATTAACAATTGAACTGCGCGAAAAGAATCGCGAAAAGCTCAAAAAATGTGTTTTAATTCCAAGAATCTCATAAACAGGCACTTTCACTTTGGGTATATGCCTAAAAATGCGGAGAAACTTTTGAATTTTGTGCAACTACACCTCTTTGAAAGCTTGGACCCATATTATGCGGCCGTAAATTACAGACCTCAAGTTTTGCCGCTTAATTAATCACATTTCGATCGAAATTCGTTTTATCTACAGCATTTCACGTTTATTTGCAGCTTCATGCTCCAGTATAATGTGAATTTTCACAAGAAAGTAGAAAGATACAAAACTGAAATTTCAGTCATTTCTAGAAGATCTTGTAAGTTACTTATGGCGAAAGTTTGAGTGAAATCGGACGAGTCCTGCGAAAGTTATAGAGGAAACAATTTCGAAAATTTGTAACTTCAAAGTGCGTGGAAAAATCGTTTTTACACTTTTCTGCCATTCGAAAGAAACTCTATACGAAAACTATAAACAATTTTCTAAATCATCTTTTACGCTCTGCGTTTTGGCCATTTTATTTTTTAATCTTTTAATTGGATGAGTCATCGAGAAAACGGGTATTTTTTCTTTTGACCCACGCATCTCAGTGAGTTGATGAAATATCATTGCGAAATTTTCTGTGGTAGTGAGCCAAAATGTAAGTAAGAGAATAAAAAAAGGTTTTAGAAATCGGCTCATACGAACAAAAATGAGTGTAAAAATGCGTAAAAATGCAATTGTACAGAAAAGTTACGATTCGCTCATATAGACTAGGTCATATATTTGGGCTATATAACAAAATATAGAAGTACGAACGAAATATATAGGCTTTTATGCAAAAAGATATTCCAGTGTTTCCTTCTTCCTTTTCTCTATTTCGGATATTTTGCGTGAATAACTGCTCTTTGCTGCAAGGAAAAAAAAACTAGCAAATACTGTTTTTCAATTAACACTTAATAAAGATCGTTACGCTTGATTTAACGTATTCAAATAACAGCAACCGTATGTAGCTGTTCAGAAACTATACTGAGTTAAATGATATGTGCCTGAAATTCTTGATCTATTGAGTCCTCCAGTATGAGGCTCTTAAGGGGTTTTCGAACAGTTCTATGTCAGATTGAGAAGAGGAAAGTTAAGGTGAGGAATTTTTTCATTTTTTCTGTATAAAAAGCTGAGCCACAACGCTCGTTTTAACTTATTTCTTAAACAATCTTAACAGTACTTATACAGTCATAACAATATGGCATGATACGCTGGTAAGTAGAGCTCTTAGAATCTATTCATAGTTAACTGTTTGTTTTTGCGATTTATAGGATATGGAACGGGCGAAAATATACCACCCAATAATGACAGTGGTATGTACGCTAATAAGCACGATAAATGTCATATGCAATCCATTAATTTTGTTTCCTTTTTAGGATTTGCAGCAGGTGGTATTTATGGTAAAACTAGTGGTATTGCTGGTGATAATGAATCGTTTTGGGCAGATCCTAATAATCCTCCACCAGGAGGATGGGCTCAGCCTGCGCCGGGTGAACCGAATGATGCAGCTTTCGGTGTCAATACAGGCAGTTATGTAGAAGTTGGCAATATTGGAGGAAGTGTTTATCCCCGTCATACAGGATATTAGAACTTGATTACTCTGAGCGAGGAACATATTTATCTATATATAGTCTTATTCTCTCGCATAATTATACTACAGTCAGTTTTAACAATAAAATACTAACAATTAGAAACCCGCCAGCGTCAGTTAGAGTCGAGCCGTGTACTAAAAATGCCAGAATATGGGGGATCGCAGTCGATGAATTAGTAGATGAATTCACTTGGTTTCTTCAGGATCATGGAAACCTTGTTTTAAGAGAACTTCAGGCCTTATTATCAAATGTTTAATAAAAAATAAAAAAGTCACACTTTTACATATTTTAAGAAGAAAACAGCGACTCCCTACAACTCGCTTTCTGATGGCATGCGTAACGATCATCTTGATATCATTACCACCAATTTATCATGCGGAGACAGCATCGTGGTGTTGATAATTAACTAACAAAGCACCAATAACAGAAAATAGCCTATCACATAACAACAAGTACTTGTTGTAGCGATTTCCTGCATTTCATTGTTGATATAAGAAGCACGATTTAGGTCCTCTGTATAGTCTGAATAAGTAACACAGAACAAACCAATACAGAGGCATTAGCACTTTGGTGTAATGGAAGAAGTGCAACAGCTATCAAGGCAACGTTCGGATTTAAAGAATATTTGAAAATACTTCCCTTTTTTTTCAATTTCGTTGCTGCTATGGTAGTGTTTGGTCATCTTCTTCATGCATGTCAACACAATTAACACAATAAATGTGTAGTTGAATCGATTTGAATAACCAAGTGCATACAAACTGTATTCCGCAACCTTCTTTTCCAACTGTTGATGGTGTTGTGTTGATACTTTTAAATCATAAGCTCGTCGATTGATCTAACCGAGCTTTTAGTTTCGCATTATTCGTATTCATTCTCGTTTATCTAAAATACAACGCTCTGATTCTTGCGCCATTGTACGGGTCGTGATTTGTATTACAGAAATAAGCATCGCCTTTTTAAAAATTTGTTTCATTACTGAGAAAGTACATTTTGTCCGAATTAGGAGCGAAAAACCGAAATTTTGCCGGTAATTCTCTATTTTCTCCACCAGAACTCACTTTTTATGGAATAAAAATATCATATTCGGAGTTAGCGTCGAAAACCGAGTCGAATTATTTCCACCATATCCAACCAGCTTTGTTTTTTCTAATTTTCACGTCGCGAACGTACCGAGATTTTCACCAGAAAATGAAAATCTACGAAAAATATCGAAACAATTTTCGAAACGGCAATTTTTCGCTTCGGATTCAGAAAAAATGTGCTTTCTCACGAATGAAACAAATTTAAAAAATAAACGATTCTTATTTCTGTAGTACAAATCAAGACTGACCCATCTCTTAACACAAAAAACTAAATAGCTTTTTCGACGAGGCCTTTACTTTGGAGTTATGCTTGTAAAAGAATTTTTCCTGCAACGATATTACCTATGGAAACCTTTGAAAACCCATTTCCTACTTCAGGTTTCAATGCTGAATCCGAAAAAAATGTTTGGAAACTTCAGAATACAAAGGAGAATACATATTCAAATTTTTCGAACATGAAGTTTTTTCCCGATTTTGAGACCCTCAGAGTATTTCGAATTTTTGTCCGTAAAAATGTGCACTGGATAGGACAAAAAGGTGATAGTTCTCGAATTTTGAATTAGCGGTGCCTTACCTGGAAGCGCTGTCTCTAATAAGAATCAGAAACATCTTTTGTCTTTGATTGTAAAACGTATAAATTCAAAATTTGTTTGTAATCCTGATGACTTATGTAACTATTCATACATCTTATCCGACATAATTCATGAACAAAAAAGACCGAAACAAATCTGCAGTACATTGCATCTGTACTAAGAATTTGACTGTTTGTTCAAAAGAACTTGGACTTTCAACTGTTATCATTAATCAGCGTATTCATTTTCATGAACCTTCAGTCTTTTTTCGCTTGGGGAACAAGAAAGATAAAAAAACTAGCAAACAATAGAAAGGGTATCATTAACCTTCATGCGTAAGCCATCTATATTGTCATCGATACGATTATTATGAGTGAACTGATGAAGAAGAAATTATCTAAGGTTATAGTCAACGAATGCTGTGTTACATGCAGTGAGTCATCCAGTTGGATGCAATTGTGAAGCACTTTACCAAGTTTCATGGCAATAAAACTGACAATGTTGATGAATGGATACGAACGTCAAATTCATTGCTTTAGATCTTGACGATTCAAAGAAACGTAAATAGCCTCCATAATTTCTGTTACTAATACGATCCAGTCATGTCAAAGGAACAACAATTAGATCATTTATGCAACGGTATGAAAATTATTGTTATCATCGTCATCATCGTTCGGCTGCGAACAATCGAGGTTTGCAGGCGACAATAATCTTGGACCAATTCTCTGTGTTCGTGGCAGCCTTTCTAATCTCGTCGACCGATGGAGGTGTATCGTTGTTAATTAGCCTCGCAATGTTAGCGGGATACATTAGACGGGAGCTACCCCGCTGAACTGAACTGACTGAACTGAAATTTATTTCATCAAACACATGAAACCCACAAGAAAATAAAACACATGGCTGAAAGGAAATAGCAAAAGTCAAGAACTTATAATTATAAGGCTACCACCATTGTATCAGTAGAAAAAAAGAAATAAAATTGAAACAAAAAAAAACAAGCAAATCATCGTATGTTGAGCCTAACAAAGAAAACAGTTCTACGCCTATGACACGAAAATAAACAAGCAATTGCAATATTTTTACATGTTCAAAAATGATCTTAGTAATCTTTTAAATTGATTTACTGTATGACAAGAGACTACCTCCTCCGGTA